CCTCTTCTCCTCTGTTCTCCTGGGATCGGCCACTCACCCACAAGCGCCCAGTGTGAGTTTCAAGCCACTGAGTCCGGGACTCAAACCGTGGTTAGCCATGTAGGAAACCAGCGATGCAGCCGTTATACCAACCTGCTGATCCCAAGGTGGTCTGTCTTTTCAAAAAAAAAACTTGAACAAATTAAGTTTAAGCTTTTCTGGTTAAAAGTGTGGGTTTTTTTTTTTTTTTTTTTTTCCAAATTTGAAAATTCAGATGAATTTTCAAAGCGGTATATAGCAGCTACTGTGGTTTGATTGTGTCCCTCCTAAATTCCAGTGTTGACATTTGGTTGCTATTCTGAGGTACTAAGAGAGAGAAAACTGGGCCAGCCTATGTTGTGGTGGTGAAGGTAGCTGGATCCTACATGACTGACAGTATGGTTCAAGTCCCAAACTGGGCAGCTTGAGAAGCATGCTTGTTGCAGGGGCTTCCGTGCCCAAAATCTCAACAGGAGGGAGAAATGGAGCAGAAAGGGTTGCAGTGGGACCATCTCCCTTTTGGGTTGCTTTCTTATTCCCTTCTCTCCCTTTCTCTAGCTCCTTAACTCAGGGACCCTCTGGCAAATTTAACTTTTTTTATAAGGTGGAAACATAATCCAAGTGTAAGCATTGAGGGGATCTTCCAGTATTAAAAGGTGGTTAGGCTTGTTAATGTCCTCAGGTAGGGCCTCTATGAATGAATCCTGGTGGCTTTATTAAAAGAGGGAGCGAGACCAGAGCGCTCAGTCCTGCTCTTTTTCCAGGATGCCTGTAGCTCTATTCTTTGTAAATAACCTAATGTGTTCAGTTATAGCAAGGAGACACAGACTGAAACAACGGCTATTGATACAAAATCTGAATTTCCTTAGTTAGCACACCTCATTGTTTTCTTTTTGATCTGTTTCTACTGTTCTTTTCTATTTTAGCTGGAGCTGGGTTAAGATTACGCAGGTGATGGGATGCGTGTGTGGCATGGTGGTTAAGGTGTTGGATCCCACATGATGGAATGTGTGATTTAAGTCCTGGACTAGCTGACTTAAAAAATATGCTGGGTGCATGTATTTGCGTTCCCAAAATCCAGAGAGGAAAATGGAGGACAAGGGGTTGCGGCATGGCCATCCCCTGGAGGGTGATTTCTCCCCTCTCCTACTCTGCCTTTCTCTTCCTCTGGCACATGCATTATAACAAATTGAAAAAATAATTGAGAAAAGCAAAGGTTAATCATCATGATTGTGGTTGACATTTGTGGAATCCAGACCACATGATGAGGGGCCCTCCGTCCATGGGGGAGATAGTGAGGCAGTTGAAACCATAGTGAAGCCATAGGAAGAGGTAGTGGTTGTCCCAAAGCATTGCTAGAGTTCAGGAGTGTTAGTGTGAGACACTGGAATGGGGCCGCCCCTTCTGTGGTGGTTAAGGTAGCTGGAATCCACATGGCCAACTGTGCAGTTCAAGTCCTAGACCTGGCAGGTTGAACAGCATGCTGGGCACATGTGTGTATGTATGTGCCCAGAATCCTAAAGGAGAGAGAAATGGAGGAGGAGGGATTGCAGTGTAACCATGTTCCATTGTAGGTGGTTTCTCACTTACAGCCACCCCAGCCCTCCCTCTCTGTCATTGAGCGCTTGTGCCCTGTGGTGCATGTGAAAAAAGAAACCTGGAATGATTAGAGATGGCTTTGAGTGTGGGATGCTGAGATGGCGATTTCCAAGGCATTTCAGTTATTGGTGGAAACACAGTCTAGGTTGTGACTGGCAATAGATGGCTGAGGTGTGGGCTAGGGGGTCTGAAGTGAAGGTTTCTACGAGCTGAGGGGGCAGGTGTTGAAAGCATCACGTGTGTGGATGTTGGGTTGCTGGGAGTCATGGTAGACGGTGTGGACCAGGTAACAGAACCTTCAGTACCATGTGTGCGGGTGTCTGGAAGATCAGTAGGTCGATGGCTGTAGCCGAGGAAAGGGTTATTACCAGTGTAGTGTTTGTGTCTCTCCGGGAGATGGGCCCTGCCAGTCCAGATCTTCCAAGTTGGGCTTCTTGGGTGGGAGAAGTTTGGGAAATGCAGAGAGGAGACCACTGCCAAGCCTGGGAACTGAAGGTAGGCAGTCCTGTGGAGACAAGGGCAGCATTTTGCTAAAGACAGGCTGCCCCCTGCTGCCCCCTGCAGAGGTTTGGGTGGGCAGGGACAAAGCTCATTAAGACCCTGAGAGACAGGAGAGAGTCAGATTTCTGGTGCTGAATGAGTTCAGAGAAGGACGGGAGGCTTGGCGTGCTGGTTGGATGGGCTCACAGGGCAAGATGGGTGACCAGCCAGCCATCCCAATGGCCCCATCCGAGGCCTGATCGCGCAGATCTGTAGGGTGGCGGGGCGGCCTGGGTCATTGGATATATGCAGCCCTTGCTCCTTGCCTCGCCCCAGGGGAGCACCTCCAGGGAAGGCGCCTTCCTGCGCTCTCAGTGGTGTTATTGCTGCTGCGTGTCACACCTGTGTACAGGACTCGCTTGGTTCCTGCCTCTTCCTCCTGCCAGAATCAGCTCAGCATAAACACGTTACTCTGAGTGGGGAAGGCTGTGGATTAGAAATAGATGCAGTAGCAAACACACAAAGACACACATGTATGGAAAAGCGAGGATCGGGTGGGCACAGCTTCTCTGATGGAGAAGTTGTGACCAGAACCAGCCTCAGGTTTATTCTTTTAAAGGGCAGAGAATGGGGGAAGGGGAAGATGGGATGTAAAAGGAATGGGGAAGAAGGAAGTGGAATGCTAAGAGAATAAGGGAGGAGGAATGCAAAGCCAGTTGTTTTTGGATGTAAATCATTTGAAGATGTGAAAATGACTGGTGCCATATAATTTCTCTGATCCTTTTGGGGAGGGGACAATCTGATAACCGCTTGTGACTTCCTTTAGCCTGATACTGGGCAGTATCGGGGTATTGGGTATCAACAACAACAGGAAGACAGCCATTGACAACAGGCAGGTGCTGCTTTCGTATGTAGATGCTTCTCATAGCCCTCCTAGAGTAGCTGACTGAAGTGCATATCTGCATGCGTCTTCAGGCCACATGTTTTAATCACGTGTTTTCAGATTGGCTGCTCTCCACATCCTCCTACTGTGGCTTGAAACAGTAGGCACTCAGGGAATTTCATTGAGCGAATTCATTATAAAATTGTGGGTTTTAAAACCATCTTGAATAACCAAAAGGTGTCTATATGAAATAAACTTATTTCTTCACTCATTAGACTTTTTATTTATTTTTGGGAGGAGAGATTTTTTGCTGTAGGGTACACGTGCTCATCAGAGACACAGAGACAGAGAAAATGAAAAATCACTCCTCAGGGGGAATGGCCACACCACAATTCCTTTTCCTCCATACTCCCCTCAGGATTTTGGGCATGCGCATACATGCATCCAGCGGGAGTTTCAAGCCACCAGGGTCTGGGACTCATCAGGGTTGGCCTTGTGGGAATTCAGTGCCTTAACCACCTGCTGGCCTCTGATTAGACATTTAAATTATCCTATTTTTGCCATATTTTAGTTTCTAGGTAAGTAAACATTCCCTTCAGGTTTTTTTTTATCCTTTAAGAGAGATTGTTGCCGTAGGGCGTGTGTGTTTGCTGGAGAGACAGAGAGATAGAAAGTGAGAAATTGCCCTCCCAAAGGGGGATGGCCATGCCACAGTCCCTTCTCCATTCTTCTCTTCCATACACACTTGTCGTGAGTTTTAAGCCACTGGGACTGGGACTAGAACCACAGTCGACTCCATGGGAGTCCAGCGACGTAACTATTATGCAATCTGCTTTTATTTTATTTTTTGAATTTACTATTATTATTTTTTCTAATAGAGAGATTTTTGCTATGGGACATTTGCACTCACCAGAGACAGAAATCACTCCCTGGGGGAATGGCCACACCACAGTCCCTTCTTCATTCTCTTGGGATTTTAGGCATGCACACACACGCACCTGGCGTGTGTTTCGTCACCAGGCTGAGGCCTTGAACCTTAGTTGGCCATGTGAGAGTCCAGTGCCTTAACCACTTCGCCACCTTCTGGCTCCAGGGTACTGTGTCAGAACCCACACTTCCATGCTGAGACCAGAATCCTCAGCCTAACCTGAGGAAGCAGAGCTCGTGTCTGTCACCCGAGACCCCTCATCTGTCCTGGCACTGCCTTCAGTTCTTAAACTATGACCGCTTGGCCGTAAATTGTAGACATGACAGCTTGCTTATGCGTGAGAACCAAATGCCGTTAGGTGGGTCAGTGAAATTTGTGGTAGTTATTTTGATGTCTCACGAGAATGTTTGAAAATGTGTTTTAATCTGAACTGTGAACTCTTGGATCCAGATTGGATTTAAACAGTACAGCTGCCTCTGTAAAACGGCAGCCTCTGGTGGGTCAGGAAGTGTCGTGTGAGTGTCCTCTGAGGTTACTGGACGTTTTCCCTCCAGTTTCTGGGAGCAGACTTACAGAGAAAGCAGTCTCGTGGGCTGTAATCCTCTCTCTTGTCAAAGGCCAGGGCCTGCTGTCCTTGGCCTTGCTGTCGCTCTTTCGAATGTGAGTTCCTGTGTTACCTCCATGCTTTCAATCCCACAGGGACCCCACACCCCTGTCACCTGCTCCCACACTGGTTCTTTGTGTCTGTCAGGATGGTGCGCACTGCCGGTCCCAATCTTTCCCGGAATCCCGCACCCCCTCTCCCGTTTGCTCGCAGCAGAGTGCAGGCATGTGTAGTGGGAAGCCAGCCAGCGGTGTGATTTGCATGGGTCTCTGAGGGCTTCTACTTCTGGGCCTTGCAGATGTCCCAGGCCTCCGGTTTGCCTCTGTCCTGGCCTTGTAACCCAGGTTTAGGCAGTGCAGTTAGTGGCTTTGGGGCAAAGTGCATCCTCGCTGGCACTTAGGTTGCAGGTGCACCCCCTTGGGCGGTACCTGGGGCGTGACCTGGGGCATGACCTGATGCTCTAGTAATGAACTCTCACTGTTCCACAGCGTGCTTGTGATTTCCCGTGCTGTGCTGAACTTGGGAGAGACACTGGATGGTGGACTAACACGAACACGGACTTCTGTGCAAGTTTCACGTTGGAGAGTATTGGATTTGTGCCCTCGTCCAGCAGCTCTGCTGCTGACTTAAATACAGATGAATGAAGACCCCGTTCGGAAAGACACCTGGCCAGCGGTCCAGAGCTGATGCAGGTAGGCGCACCTCAACACACTCCATTGAAGCCAGGGGACAGCGAGGGGCACTTCTCCATGACACCTAGTGACTGCTGTGCTCGAACCTTTGTGATTCCGTGTTCCACACACAGGTTTAGCTTCCTGACAGGGAGGAATCACACTTACTTTTTTTTTTTTTCTGTATAAGCATTTAGTGAAGTATAGGTGTCCAATATATTTCGTAAATGTGTGTAAATATCTTTAATAGGGTCACACTAATCCAAGGAACTGTCATTTCATTTTTAAAAATGTGTGTGTGTCATTTCTTTGAAAAAGGAAATGAAAGTGAGATGTTAAGTGAGCATTGGAGTCAATGAGATTCACGATATATGGGCTGTGTTAATGAAGAAAGATAAACTCAGTTTTTTTGTGTGTTTATTTGAAGGAATTTTACTAGTATAGAAAAGAAGTGACTACTTAATAGAAATTAGTTATCTTTTTTCCCTAAAGAACTATTTTATTTAACATTGTTCATTCATTTATTTATTCATTTTAAATTGACCAGAGAGGAACAGAGTGAGAGAGGGAGGGGAAAGTGAGAAAGCAAGCTGTCAGGTCTGAGACTTGAACCGCAGTTGGCCATGTGGGAGTCCAGCACTTTTAACCACCACGCCACCTGCTGGCCTCTTGTTATCTTTGTTTTTGTGGCTCACAACTAATACAGGTGGAAGTTTAGAGTTTGCCAGATGTTTACTTTCCCCCAAAACAAAGGTAAACAAGATCTTACAGAAACCTCTAAAAAATGACATGGGGGAGGGGTGGTTTCTTCACATTCTCCATTCAGGTATACTCATTCCAGACAAACATTTGTATGTTGAAAAGAATTTATCATAACATTTTAAGGGTTTTTTTTTTTTTGATAAATAAGGCTGAGAATCATGTTGGTGCAATTATTATTAATATCGCAAAATTGATTACTCTGAGATTTAGAACTCATATTTATTATAGTATTTGATTTTTTTTTTTTAGGGGTTTTTGATATAGGGCGCGTGCGCTTGCCAGACAGAGACAGAGAGGCAGAGAGACAGAAAGCGAGAAATACCCCCCAGGGGGGATGGCCACAACGCAATCCCTTCTCCATTTTCCTCTTGGCATCTTGGGCATGCACGTACACACACCTGGCTTGTCCCGTACACGAACCGCGGTCGACTATGTGGGAGTCCAGCGACATAGCCATTATGCTAACTGCTGGTCCCGGTATTTGGTGAATTTTAGAAGAGTCACAGGGTTTAAGATTTCTAAATATCCTTATCCTTTTCATTTTAGCTCAAATATTTCTCGAGGGTGTGTGCGCCCAGGGGGAAGGAGGAGAAAAAGAGAGAGTAGATTTTGAAAAAACAGCTCGGGGGTGGGTGGACATGTCACAGTTCCTTCTCTATTCTCTTGGGATTTTGCACATGGATGCAAACATACCCAGCATATTTTTCAAGCCGGGTCTGGGACTTGAACTGCACAGTTGGCCCTGTGAAATCCAACTCTATGTCACCTGCTGGCCCCTTCTCACAGTTTTTTAATTTTTATTTTGTTGAATTGCCAGAAGGTGCATGTGCTTGCCAAAGGGAGACAGAGAGGTAAAAAGCGACCCCAATGAGATATGTCACATCACAGTCCTCCTCCGTTTCTCCATCCTGTGGGGACTTGGGTGCACAGGCATACTTGCCTGGCATGTTTTTCAAGCTGCTTTGCTGGGATTTGAACTACTGTCAGTCACATAGGATCTGGCTCCCGTGGCCACTAGGCTTGTGGGACCAGCCCCTTTAGTTCATCTTTTAGAAAGATAATATGGATTTTAATGTGGGAGCCTGCAGGTGGCATACTGGTTGAGGCTCTGGACTCCCATGTGGCTGACTGCAGTTTGAGTCCTGGACTCGGGGCTTGAAACTCATGGCAGGTGCGTGTGCTTGCATGGCCCAAATCCTGAGAAGATAATGGAGGAGAAGGAATTGGTAGCTTGGCCAGCCCTCCTGGGGGGTGATTTCTCATTTTCTGTCTCTCTGGCAAGTGCATGCACCCTATAGGAAAAATTTTTCTCAAAAAAATTGATTTAAATGTTCAGTAGTTACCAATGAGATTAATACATAGTAGTTATACTGGAATGCAAGTCATCTGAGGACTTATTTTTAGAATCCCAGCTCTTTAATTTGCTGTATCTACATTGGTGCATTTCTGTTAATGTTCTCCTTGGGGTTCTGGGTTCAGTGAGGTGGTGTGTGTTAAGTGTTTAGCTAGGCCTGGCATATTTCATAACACTGCTATTGATCATGCTGTTTATAGTAAAATAGTCTTATTCCTTCTCATTAATTGAAAAAATGCTGCCAGGTTTCCATTGACCAGTAAACCCTCCTAGGTCTCTGTCATTTGACGTAGTAGTATGTCGAGGCTGGCAGGTCGTGTTGCCATTAAAGTGCTGGACTCTTACATGGCTGACGCGGTTCAAGTCCTGGACCTGGGAGCTTGCTTTCTCGCTTTCTCTCTCTCTTATCTCCCTCTCCCCATCAAATTAAAATAAGTAAATAAATAAAATAGTGATAATGAATAAAATTAAAATAATTCTTTAAAAAATAGTGTATTTTCCAAAATTCATTAGTGTATGGCATTGTGAGTTTATCACTCTAGTTTTCTTCATTAATTTTGAAGTCATGCCCTTGTTAGAAGGCTAGCTAACTGACTAAAATGATGCGTAGTATGGTGAAGTTACTGGAGGAACTAAGCCAAGATGTTTTTTAAAGGGGAAGATCATTAATCCTAATAAGAACTTTTATATTTTCATAGTCTGCTATTTCTTAGAGCATGTCACATAGGGCTAGAGACAGAGTAAATACTGTGAATTCTAGTTATCTTGTTAATTAGTTTTTTTTCTTCTTCTTCTTTTTTTTTTTTTTTTTTAAGAGGTTTTTGCTATAGGGCATGTATGCTTGCCAGAGAGACAGAAAGCGAGAAATCACCCCCCAGGGGCCATGGTCATGCCACAATCCCGCCTCCTCCATTCTCTTCTTGGGATCCTGGGCATGCACCCAACGTGAGTTTAAGCCACGGGTCCGGGACTCAAACCACGGTTGACACAGCGACATAGCCATTACGCTAACTGCTGGTCCCATCCTGTTAACTAGTTCAGTATGAGAGGCCACAGGGTTATTTCTTCTTTTTCACTGTTGTGTATAGTTAAAAAGATAGAGAGAAAAATAGTTCTTTTTGCCTTTATTCTCTTATGTAGTCGGTGAAGCACAGCATCCCTGGTCACCCAAATGAGGGAGGGGTGTTTTAGCAGCCAAGTAGTTCTGTGGGCACAAGCTCAGTGTCCTCTATTAATTCAGTCCAGTTCTGATCTGACTACTTGGAGCTGGCCTCAGGTCACATAGGCGGAGAGCTCATTCCCACAAGATTGCCCCCACTTCAGGTGCCAGTGGAAAGGCTAGACTAACTTCTGACTGACCAGCTGTAAATCGGGATTCCCATGACTCCCCTCCCTGCATACTGCTGTTTGCTAGAGAGGCCCACAGAACTCAGGAGGACACTTAAGTTTACATGTTTATGGGCCAGCCAGTGGCATAGAGGCTAAGGTGGCTAGATCCCACATGACTGACTGTATGGTTTAAGTCCTGGATCCAGTGACTCGACCAACACACCAGACACATGTGTGTGTGTGCCCCAAATCCTGAGACATGAATGAGGGAGAAGGGATTGTGGTGTGGCCATCACCCCTGGGAGGTGTTTTCTCACTTTCCTCTTCTGGCTCTGTTTCTCTCCAGCATGCAGCCTGCAGTAAATTTTTTTTTAAGTTTTTAAAATTTACACCTTTATTATGAGCGGTATTTCATTTTTTAGAAGTTTTGTTAGAGGGTACGTGCACTTGCCAGAGGAAGACAGGATAGAGGGGAGTGAGAAAGCACCCACACAAAAGATGGCCACGCCACAGTCCCTTTTCCTACACTGCTTCTTTTGGAATGTCGTACATACACACACACAGCATACTTTTTCAAGCTGCCAGGTTCAGGACCCAAACCGTGCTGTTGGCCATGTGGGATCCAGCCATCTTAACCAGCATGTCACTGGCTGGCCCAATAAAGGGTATTTCTGAGCCAGATGGCAGAGATGGACAGGGTAAGGCACGCAGAATGGAGCATAGCACTTTCACCTCTGTCCAGGTGGTCCCCTAGAGGGACTTCTACGGATGCAGTTACCCAGAAACTCCCCAAACCCAGTCCTTCTGGGGTTTTAATGGAAGCTTCATTATACTGCACAGTTGATTTTATCATTGACCACCAGTAATCAGTTTAACCTTGGTCTTTTCCTCCTCCTGGGAACTGAAAGTTCCAGCCCTCTCATCAAATTAGTTGTCTTGGTCCTTCTAGAGACCAGTCCATGGCCATCCCGAAGCTTAGGTAGGTCTCACCCCCACCAGTCATCCTTTTTAAAATTTAAGACAGAGATTTTTGCTATAGGGTATGTGTCCTCGCTGGACAGACAGAGACAGAGACAGAAAGTGAGAAATCACTCTCCCAACTCCCCCTGCAACCCCTTCTCCCCCATCCTCTTCCTGGGATTTTGGGCACGCACACACATGCTCCCAATGCGAGTTTTAAGTCTCTGGGTCTGGGACTTGAACCACAGTTGGCTGCGTGCAAGTCTAGCACCGTAACCACTATGCCTGCTGGTAGGGAGAGAGACAGACCAAAAGAAAAAGAGAGAGTACCCCTCCCTGGTGAGGCATGGTCACCCTGAGTCCTTTCTCTTTTACTCCTCCTTCCCACCTGTGTGTAGGGTATGGATGTGTAGATGCCCAGTATGTTTCTCGGGCCACAGAGATGGGATTTGAACTATGGTCAATCATGTGAGATCAGGCTCCTTTAGCCACTGTACTGAGGGCTGTCTTTAAAATTAAGCCTTAATCATTCTTTCTGCTAGCAGAGACAAATGCTCTGTTGCTTTTTAACCTCTTAAGAATATGTCCAGTTGCAAATGAAAGATACCTGTTCAGA